CACTGGCTTAAATTATCACAGTGAGAGTGAAAAAGAAAACCTACATCCGAACTTAGCCAGCAGCTGACACTGCAGTTTTTCCTTCCTGAACCCAGTTTTAATTCGGGTGCAGCGTTTGCCTCTACCATACCTAAAGGCTCCAGCCACTGAGAATGAGTGACTATGCTGAGTCAGAACATTGATCCAAGTTTTCCATTACATTTATGACAGCCCTAGTGACCTTCAGATGTGACTTTGAAACAATAGGAAAATACTATAATACTTTAATTAGTATAATTTGCCAGTGTGGTTTGACTTGAGCACAGAATTAAGGCAGCCGTCATTGTTCTAAGAAAACGAACCATTTTATTACATTACATTAAGTTAGAATTGATCATTATAAGCAACATGAGTCAGACATTTAGTCATGAGGAATGTGTTACCTGGAGGTGAAAGTGCAGCACAGGTAATAAAATATTGAGCAGTGAGACGGCAATGCAACCTAATAGTATGCATATGTTATGTAAGAGAATGCCGTTGGAGTATTCTGTTTATGTAAGATGACTGGTAAGGATTGAGTGACAGACATCTGAGTAGTGTTATTTCTGCAGAACAACATATTTGGTGATTGTATGATTGTTATAGATGATTAGAAAAAAAAAGTTCAAAAGCCACATTTTTGCAATGTACTTCTTTTTGAAAATGATGTCAAATGAATTCTGAGTGTAAATGATTATTGTTTCCATATAACAAATAAATGACTTGAAAATGAGTGTATGTGACTGTAGGCCCCTGAGCTGATCCTTTGGCTTTCTGCCTGCTGAAAACTGTGTGCTGAATTTTATCTCCAGAACCTGACACTGAGCTGATAGCCCCTGTTAAGACTAATTAGGAAAGTGGAAAAAAGAGAAAAAACACAAGAGCACATACTTGGTTTAATACACTACAGCCATGGTCTGTCTCATATACTTAACTGGTCAGGTGTGCCATGAGGTCAGCCACAGAATGAAGACAGACGTGACCATCAACAATTAATGGCCAGCCATTTTGTTCTAGCCTTGCAATGTGTAGAATGGCCAGATCTTTCTAGTTCTGTGGCTGGAACACATTACTCTCCCGCTAGGGCTGGGGAAAGACTGATTACATCTACAAGAGCCAGAAAGTGAAAGATACTGACCCTTATAACCCGAGCGTGCTGCAATTTGTCCCTTCACGCAATCCTGATTACTAAGGTAACTGAAGTGTTACCTTCACTGTCCACTAATTAAACAACCACTTATAATAAATAACCATTACTAATAATAAGACCAAAAGTTTCTCCTGGAGACACACAAACTGTATGTGATGAAGCTGCCGTGCAAACAGTATGCCTTGTTCTTGATTGCCTGTGTGACATAGCAGCCCAGTGTGATGATTTACGTGACATCTACCTGAACTCTGCAGTCAGTGTGTGTGTACGTGGGCGTTTGTAGGGTGGCCTTCCATCTGTTCTGTTAGCCACAGATCTCCTGAGTGACTAGCTCTCCTCTCCTTTCACTATTAATATGTTTGTGCTAGACTTTTTCTGAAATTAATAATAAAAACAAGCCTCTTTCTCTTATCAAATCCCAACCTACAGATTTCTAGATCGACACGTTATCAATGCACCAACTTCATATGCCTTTTTTGTACTTTTATGAACTCTTCACACACCTCAGTAAGTTTTATATAAGATACAAACATTACAATATAGTAAGTGATATTCTATCAGGCATTTACTTGACTTGCAGTAGATTCTTGTAAGTACACCTAGTTTGCAGAAATGAGAAACAGGAAGAAAAGTAAAAGATTATTGTATTGCTTCATGAATGTTGCTTCACTTAGTAGTTTCCCCTTTCTCCCTCGTCTCTCTATCACACCTAGCTTTGTTACACCCAGTCTGTTAATTATTTATCTGACGTTTTGGTCTTGCTCAATAATTCAAAATGGTCCCAGACTGATCTGATGACTTAGTTTCTCTTACTAGTCATTATACCTTAGAGAGAAACATTTGTGATATATCCAGTCACGTCTTGAATCTGTTGTCATTTTGGGAAGATATACTAAAACGCATTGATTAAAATGATTATAAACACTTGGAACACAAGTGAAACAGCAGCCCTGGTGATAACAGGTATGAGTCACATTGTACAGTTTGCCTAATCAGTGGACTGTCTGCGAAAACCCATATATATTGCATTCAAGAAGATACGGGCAATTCCATGACTCACTAAACTAATGCTACCAGTTAACATGAGATACCAGCTGTGCTGTGGCCGTTCTCTGCCAGATTATATCACTCATTCACAATTCTGGGAACACTGGGTGTGAATACGGGAATACACCCTTGATGAGATGCTACTCCATCACAGAGCTTCTTTCACACGCAGTCACACATTCATTCACACACAGGAGCAATTTAGTGTAGCCAATCCACCTACAGGCTTGTTTTTGGGGAGGAGGGAGGAAACCAGAGAACTCAGAAGAAACCCATGCGGACATAGTGAAACCCCACACAGATAGTAACTTGAGCTCAGGATCGACCCTGGAGCTGTGAAGGGGCACCACTGTGCTGCCCAAGGGGTGTATTTGTATTCATAATCTGGGATCTTTCAATTGGGACATTTTACTAGTTTAATGTGATTAGTACACCTAAGTACAGCAGTAGTCAGTCAACCAGACAGGGAGTTTTAAGCAGCACCATTTACATAATGGATCTTTGATGTTTACATTAATTTATCTACAATTATATTCAATATGAATCAAAAATAGTGCTTCATTGCTTAGAGCACTTTGGACCCCAGCTGACCTAGTGATACTGAAGACAGCTGACATTCTGGTCTTTCCCTGAAATATGTAATTCCTAAACTCAGAAGTCAAGTGTGTTTCAGTCATCAATCTCCTGTACACGTATATTAACAGGATAACAGTGAAATGGTGTCACAGGGACACTACTTCTGTTGGAAATGTTGAGTAAACGCAATGACTCAGGCGTCTGTCAATGACTTTAGATGTCCTTTGAGTGACCCCTAGTGGCCAAGCTAGAGCACTATTCACTGAAGGTTTGGTTTCAGTTACAGTTGTCAAGTGTAGGATCTAGTGTATATACAGTATATGCACACTGTGTGCATCTATAGCAGATGAATAATGTTTTATACTTATCTTGTTATAAATCATGACTCTATTTATAATTTAAAAAACAAAACAAATTTTTTTTTTAAAAGTTCCTTTGGTACACAGCTGCAAGTAAAATTGTGGTGACTTTTGAAAATGACATTTTAACACTATAGAGCAGCAGAACCATAATTAAGATAGATAGCTGGCAGTTATTACTCATATAATGACTCTGTATAGTGTTAAACTGCTATTGTTTCCTTTCCCTCACAGGCAGCAAATAAGGACAAAATAACATAGGCCAATCAAGAGAAAGTTACAAAAAAAAAAAAAAAAAAAAAAAAAGACTAACTCCCATAGGTCTATAAAAGTGCTTAAAAGTAAAACATCTCTTTGGGAATACAAACAAAATAGACATGATTGTACTGTTTTGGAATGAATTTCAAATAATATACTTTTAAGTACCATTTGAATTAAACATAAATATGTCTATTTCTCAAAGAATAAATTATTTTATGTGTGATTCATCACATGCTGGGGTTACAGATTGCTCAGTCTGCATTTAAGTCAGTGATTTAAAGATGACTTTGAGGCTGAAGCTGTGTTATTTCTATCTATTGTGTTAAGTGCTTTACCATGTACAGCATGGCTGATAAGTGGAAACCTAAGAAGTTCATCAAGATCCTATGGAGGAGGCATGTAATCTAACCCAGTAGGCCTGCATTTGGCCTACACTCCTGTTCCAACAAGGATCAAGTGCACAAACTTATTAATTTATTATTTCCATCAGAAATACACTCTTGTTAATAAATAGATCCATACAAGAACCAGCTGAGCTTTCTTTAAAGGTCCTTAGCTAAAAGGCTTGTTTCTGATAGTGTGGAGGATGATCAGCACAACAGCAGTGTATACAATCTATTACTGTTACTCATTAAATAAATGACCTCATGGATTCCAGATGTTTTGAATGTATATACACTGTTTTGATTTATTAATTCTCCTGACTTGTGCAGTTTCAGGGCTTGGAGAGAAGAACCAAATGGAGCCAAAAAGACAATTATACAAACCTAACTTTATGGCTCTTTGCCAGTATTAAAACTTGGTGTCCAAGAATATTAAATCATTAAATAATATAATGTCAAAAAGAAAACTGAGAGGTTAAGTTTCAGTTATGATCTCATCCATATCTAACACAGTCCAAAGGACAAGTGAGCCAGTGTGGTGAGGCTAGAAGACAGCACTGATCATAAAGGAGACAAGTAGTTTCTTGACTACTTTTATTGCAATGCTACGTGCCTAATAAATCAACTGCCCAAATGTGTTAGTCAGAAACAGTGAAAGACGCGTAAAAAAGACGAGAGTTGTAAACATGGCCATAAATACGCAAACTGTTTACTGGTTTATTGAACCATCCTGAACCAAGAAACAGCTTCCTCTAAAATGCACTCCTACTTCCTCATACGTTTGCATCAGTGTACCGTGAACAACAGCAGTAAAAAGTCCCTTGTAGCACCTGACTTACTTTCTGTTTACAGGTTTCTGCCTACCTGAGCGCTTGCGTATATCGCCATGGGATTGGCTGCTTAGCACCAAGGGGCTGGAATAACAGGAGATATGCACTTAGGTGGCGAGGGAGCCGTCACTACAACAGCCTTTCTATCGCTGACATAATGTTATAAACATTGCTGTTTGAACTGCTAGTGAAGACAGAGACATTCGTGAAAAGGTAAGGACAACATCGACGTCGAGTCTTTCTATAATTAAATTATTCGCCTATACGAAACTTGCAAAATCGTATGCAAACAACTCGTGAACTTTCATTTACGTCGTTTAGCAGACGCCCTTCTCCATTTACCGCATGTAGACAGCTGTACAGTTGAGAGTCGATGGCCCTGTGGTGGGATTTGAACTCACGACCTTCCGTGTAGTAGTCCAACGTCTTAACCACTGAGCTACCTAAAAATAAGACCGAATCTGTGGAAAGTGAGAATGAGAAAAAGTTTACTGAAATGTTGAAAACTGTCCAGCAACGGCGTTCAAATCTTTTCTAAATTCTAATCAAATATGACCAAAATGATTACACTTCCAAAAGTAATATATGCCCATTACTCTTTTTTCTTTCCAGCTAAGATCACATATGGTATCCATGGTATCTCAAGTGGAGCAGGATGCACAGCCCAGGCCACAGATGCTGTTTGTGGGAGCCAAGGACAGCAAACGGCTCCTGGAAGTTTATGTAAAGAGAAGCCTGAGCCTTAACGATGGGTCACACTGTCCACCTCGAAGAGAACGGAGACCAGATAAATGGGTCACTGTTGCGGAGCAAGATAAGAGAGAGCGTAAACATTCCAGCGATATCTCGCTTCATCTTAAACCCTTAGGCTCAGAGGAGGACCTTGGTGAAGATAAGGCATTCTCAGAACCAGAAACAGACAGAAACTCTCAGGTAGAAACTGAAACCACGGACAACAGATCAAAACGATGGAAAAAGAAAAGCACTCTCAACAGAAATAATGGATCCTCTGCATCTTGTACTTCTGATGGGAAGCCCCAGAAATGGTTTGTACATTTTGATAAAGATAAGCATGATGATAGACAACCAAATACACCCTTACGTCAACCTAAACCTTCAGCCTCAGAGGAGGATCTTAGTAACGATAAAGCAATTTCAGAACCAGTAAAAGAAAGTGAAACCTCTGATAAACGTAAACGATGGAAGAAAAGCTCTCTTACCAGAAAGGATGGCTCCTCTGCATCTCAGAGTTCTGATGGAAAACCCCGGAAATGGTTTTCTCCTTTTGATAAAGACAAGCGGGATAGTGGACTATCTCGTGAAGCCTGTAAACTGGAGTTAGAAGACCTCAAGATTGAAGACTCTCCACTGCCTGCTCAACCTAAGCTAGAGAGTTTAACAGAGGTAAAGAAGATCAAAGAGGGCAAGAAGAATAAGAAGTCTTCAATATGGAAGAGTGTTCTGGGATGGTTCTCCAGAGGGAACAAACAGGATGAACAAGATGATGATGGGAGAACTGAAGAAGCACTTCCTAATCCAGAACCTGCAACGCCTCCACTCTCCTGCCTGCCCATCTCTGCTGGTGATGGCATCATCCTGCGCCACACTAGGACCTCTAGGAGAAGGCGATCTCAGAGGAGGGTCTCATTAAAGAGACGCAGCGGGGACATGGGCCTAGATAAGACAACAAAAGTGCAGCCACTTACTTTAGACCTATCTACAGAAGCCCACAATTCCCAGGTCCAATGTACGTATATTACATACATTTCAGGTTATACAGTTAGGCAAATTCAAAGCTTATTTCAGAATAGCCTTACAGGGAAGACCTTTGTGTTGAAAATATCGATAGCAGTTGTAACAATTACATCAGTTATATCAAAATAAAAGAGACATCTAAAACCTTACTATAAGTTTAGATACTTGCATAATTTTTGCCACATTTCCAACTTAACCTAAATCCTCACCAGTTCAAACATTTACATACATACTTGCATTACAAACAGTAAGGACACAGGCAAATATACAATTAATATTACAAGTTCGAAGTTTTAAAAATATCTCTACAAATATGCTCCATCACTAACACCAAATATTATCAACCTGTAGTTTTTTTTAAAGAAGTGCTTCATAAATGATGTTGTCCATCATAATAGTATTTACCTATTGTGCAAATTTCCTGTTTCAAATGCCCAATGACATATTTGGAAATTTCCCTTTTATTCATTTTTGCAGCAATTGAGGAGGTAGAGGCCACTAGTTCCTATTATGAAAAAATGTCAGAAGAGCTGGAGAAGATTGTGAATGAGGTGAAAAACAGTCCCACAGAAGAAAACAAAACTTTCGCTGATTCAGTTCAGCCTACAGACACAGATGCCTTATACAGTGAGTACTGCATAGTTCACAGTTATGCTGTGTATAAAATAAATATTTTAGAACAATAAGGAGTATTATTGCCTTTGTAAGCGCTTAATGTGAAATATTAGAGAACATATTAAATTATCTGACCTGTAAATCTTATTATTTCTGCCATTATCCATGCAGTGTCTCAAGAGGAAATTATTAAAAGGATCATTGAATTGATAAAACAGGAAGGTGATGTTATAAATGATAAGGTAAGGGTTCTCCAGTGAACTTTTAACAGACTTATGCAAAGAATTAAAGAACTACATGAGTGAAAATTTAAAAAAAAAAAAAAAGCAAAGCATGGAAGCAACTTGTAATGTCTTCACTCTCTTCCCTACAGCTAAAGGAAAATACTACTGTTAGCTCCTACTTCAACACTATCACCTATGGCTCCTTCCAGCAATTAGCAGACCAGTATGTAAATTCTGAAGTCCCACAGCAGAAAACACAGCCATCCGTGGTAGCTCCAGAGCTGGTGAAGTTTGCCTTCACACTTGACTTCACAGCAAGAGTGGCTTCTCTCTCTCGCCATGCTCCTGGACATATCCTCGGCTTTGGGAACCAGTACCTCAAGGAACGTTTTACTTACATGTATGAGAGTAACCCTCACATCAGGGATATGACCACAGAGAAATAGATGATATTAAAGGAGAGTTCAGACAGGGATGAGTGGTGAGTCAAACATTTTCTAAAGTTTATCTTCAAATCAGTTGAGCTCAATTTCCATCAAATATATTCCGCTAGTTTTATATATGCAGTTAATGTAATATATACATTTATCATTGATTAGTAGTTAGATTAGTAACTAGTAGTAACCTGATTAATGAGTTAAAGTGTCAATAGAAAATTAAAGGTTTTTTTCCTTTCATCTTCAGGTGTGGAGACCATGCAGAAGGCAAAATATCATAACCCAGCTTCTGAACCTGACAGACCATAACATTAAGGGAAACCTGTACAGCCTACAACAATGTGACTACATATTATTAGATGATTTTTTTAGAGTCAGTGGATCATCACACTGCACAGAAATTGTCTATTTATGAATTCAACGTGTAAGAGACCTTTAACACAAGGTTCTGATCAAGCTAATAAGGCAAGAAAATGCATTGAATAGCATACAGTAAAAGCTCACTACTGTAGACAGGGAAAGTCACCTTTAATACTGTGACATATGTCAACCTTTTGAAATGTTTGAAATGAATGTGATTTGTTTTATTTCTATTAGTAGAAACAAAATCCACAATTTATAATCCATGTTTAATAGCACTTAAGCTCATTAAGCTGCTTTCCAATATGCTGTAAATGTGTATGCAGGCATACACAATGTAATTTAAATGACTCTAAATATAAATAAAATATACATATATTTTTGCAACTTTCTTCTATAAATGTGATCATTTCCTAGTGATGAATTCTCTGAATTTGGTTCTTGATATAGAAGCAATTATCTGCATAAGATATTATGCAGCTAAATGAAGAATAATTGGAAGCTGCAAAGCTGCCAAAGCCAAAAAAGTGGGGAAACACCCATGTGTGGGCCTTCCACATGATGCTGAAAGCACACTATTCTCCTGAATATCTTTGTATGCTGTAGCATCAAGATTTTGTTTTACTGGATCTAAGGGGCCTAGTCCAAACCTGTTCCAGCATGACAATGCCCCATGCACAATGCAAGCTCTATAAAGACATGGTTTGCTGGGGTGGTGCGGAAGAAACTCAATGAACAGAGCCATGACCTCAACCCTACTGAAACTTCTGGGATGAATTTGAATGCAGAATGCACACTAGGCTTTCTCGTTTAACATCAGCATCTGATCTCAGTAATGCTCTTGTGATTGAATGGGCAAATCCCCACAGCCACACTCCAAAATCTACTGGAAGAGTTCCCAGAAGAGTGGAGTTATAACAGCAAAAAGGCGATCGACTGCATATTAATGCCCTTTACTGGAATGTGATGTTCAATAAGCACATATGCATGTGATCCACAGGTGTCCACATACATTTGGCCATATAGTGTACATTACCTATGGCTTACCTATGCTCACAGCCGTGCTGATGTTCAGTACAACAGCCATCTTGCTCATATGATATTGCTTGTGTTAGGAGACTCTAGATGAGTGCTTAGTAATGGTCTAGCGTAAAGCTGTTTATTTTAGGTTTTCCAGGACACGGAAATCTTCAGGACACAAAATATTGTGCTCTGCAATTTCTCAGTAACATGACTTGGTTTGTTGTTTTTTTTTTGAGTCATCACATGACTCTATCATTGATAATTTCCCCTATTACAGCACAGCTTGTTATGACTGTTCTGGGTCATGATGTCGTGCACGGACGCTCGCGCAGGGTGAGGTTTTCATACATAGCGTGAGGGGGCAGTGTGCATGAGCCACACCACACTTCACCGAGTTACACACTGAAAGCATGGCTGAGTTCCGTGTTTCACTGTAGGAAAAACAAATAAAGGGCAATACGGGCAGAACTTTGCTGTGAAGAGTGCTGGGGGTAAATAAACCATGCGTGATCAATATAACCAAAGTCTATTATCAACAAAAACATTTCATAACTCGTCTGTATTCAGCAGTTTGAGCGACTGGAGCACTTTCATTTAAGTAGTGTTTAAACCCAAAATTACACCAATCACAGAGTGACAGATGCTTTAGTATTGCATTGCTGTGGTTTACATCATCTTCAATGTGTCTTTACTGGGAGTCTGTCAGGAGGAAGAGAAAGTAAAGTGGCCGAGCTGAAGCTGGCCACTGTAATGAACTACAGGCCTACATACAGTATGTACATATATATATACACACACACATATATGTGTGTGTGTGTATATATATATATATATATATATATATATATATATATATATACACATATACACACATACACACACATTTTATGCACACATATATATCGCATATAACACAATATCATGATTGTAGTTTTCTGTAAATAAATCCATTATATATTATTTACACCACACACTCCATCCGTAAAGCCACCAGTATTGTGGATGACCCCACACACCCCTCACACAAACTCTTCA